CGGACACAGCTCGGCCGGCCTCTCGTCGGCAGCGAACGGGGCTGAAAGGTGCGGTGTGGGCAGCGGGGCGGGCTGGGTGTCTTCTACAGGGATGGGAAATAGAGTGCGCCTCCGTACTTATTCCAGTGGTTTCTGCTGGATGGCTGAGATGTATTAGAGGCAGAAAGCCCGGCGAGAGAAAATCTGGTTCTCTCTCTTTCCAGCTCTATGGGATGAATCACTGCTCTCGGTAGGGCTCCAGCACAACTAGAAACAGACTATGACCGTGAGCATTACAGGTGTTAATGCTCTTGGACTCACCGTGTGCTAATGTCATGCTTGAGTTTCTTCGGAGAACATGTCTTAGTTATTTTTATTGGAAATACAATTGGTTTAGTTCCCCTAAAACTTAATTTCTTTTCAAAGCAGTTGCCAGAGATCAAGCCTATTCTTGACTCAGCAGCCTGGGTTTTGGCACTGAAAGGGCTAAAGGACTGACACTCTCCAGAGGCCTTCCAGCTGCTTCAAGAATCACTACACCTTGCTGGATCTGCAGTGACATGAAGAAAGATTAAATGCTAGAGTTACTAAATACAGAGGGAAAAGGAAAAAAATAAATCTAATTCTGAAACCTTTTAGGTAATTTTATAAAATTGTCACAAGAAAAGTGAAGCTTCACTTTAGCTCTCGCTTAAGAAATTGGCGCTACTTTTCTACATTTAAGCAGAGTTATATTTAATATCGGAGGAAGAATTTAGCTTTTGTCACCACTGAATTCTAAACAGTGTGACTAAAGCTCTGGTGCTGAGGCAATGTGTTGCTTGCACTAACTCTGCTTTCCTAAGCAATGCCTCCTACAATTTCTCTAAACGAAGAAGCAGATTGCACAAGTATTTGTGCACATGCCCATTGGAGCTGCTTGTCATGGGGATATTTTTTAATGTAGTTAATGGGGACATTTTATTCCAAAAATCAATGATCCAGTTGTTTGTTTAGCTTATATTCATTGCTTCAGCAATGTAGAGGAGTGTGCATTTGCTTGTAATGTGGTGTCTGTGTATTTACATGTGTGTTTACACATGTGCTGCCAGTAAGCATGAGCTATTTAAATAAACACACGTGTAGGTATCTGTCTCAATAGCAAAAGTAGCCCAGTAAAACATAGCCTGCTCACAACTCAGCAGCCCCTTGCCCACACTGGTAGCTTGGTACAAATCAGAGGTGCAGCTCTGCCGGCTGTGCTGGAGTCAGGCACAGAGGAGGTGCAAGCAGATGGGAAAGATGCCTTAACTCATTGAAACAAAAATTATAACAGCACACTTGTCAGATGTCTAAAGAATAAAGTTTTGCTATGCTTTGTTCTTTACTGTCTGCAATAGGTGGACCCAAAGTGGAAGACCTTCAAAAATATCCCATTTTTTGGCCAAGAGTTGTATTTGGCTGTCTGAATCCTGCAACACAGAATTTAGAGGATGTAATATCCTTTCCCATGTATTTAATCTTTAGCAATTCTTGGTTTCCAGCTGGTGTGAACTGATGTTGTTCCCCAAAGCTCCCTGTGGATAAAGATCCAGCTTTGAGCTGGGCGGAGATTTGTCGCCCAAAGGTGCAGCTGTCAATGGGTGCATCAGTGGCAGGGTCTCCAATGCTGATCCATTTCATGCATGCATATTCAAAACTTTCTTTCAAGGCAAAGGAATGCATTAGGAGATCAAGAATATTTTCAGTGGTAGTAGAAAGAAATCCTAATTTGTGATGGGGTGGCATGTGAGACTAAGACCCCCATGCTGACAGACTCAGTGAGTTGGGAAGAAGTGGTGCAGGAAGGAGCAACAGGACAACTGCTTTGTGATTTTATGGGATCATTCATAATGGCATCAGGTCAGAGAAACAATCATTTAATGGGGACGTTTGTTATAACATTCCATCCACTGCCATCAAAATTTTTTGAGCCTGAGATAAAAACCTTTTGCATTTATAGGTTATTAGCATCCTTTTTTAACTTTCTGTAGGCAGTTTGCATATAAATCTCATTTTAAGAATAGTCCATTAAACCCACAGCTGTCACTTGCTGAGAGATCTGGGGTGGGGTTTTTTTTCATCCTGAAATCATCTTTTTAATGTCTTTTGTGCTTTTCCTTCAGAGCTTTGCCTCATTTTTCTTTTTTTTTATTCACCTGTTAAAATTGCAGTTCTCTCTCACAGCTGGCAGATTGGAAGTAATGGAATTTAACTGCTATTGCAATGATTCTGAGCAAAAAAAAAAATTTTTCAGTTCCTGATTTTAGAAATGTATGTTTTACTAGCTCTTTCTCTTCATTGCCACATTTTCTATCTCCACTTCAAAATACAAATACCCATTGTTCTGCCTAATAATATTTATTTAAAAATCATCAACATGAATAAATTCACACATTCTCTCATTTGAGAGACACTTGGTGTAAAGAGATAGGAAAATAATTAATGCTGAAAGGAAATTAAAACACAGAGACACAGGTGTACCGCAGAGGTTTAGGCTGTAAAAGCATCCCATCAAAAACCTTCCATTACTTCTCTCTAAACCAGAGAAGAAGAGGGAGTGGTAGAGGCTTAAACATAGAAGGATGCTCAAGTGGAGCTGTGTTTAGGAGCATGGCTGAACCCAGGCTTAAGGTCAGTTGCTTTTATTCACTGACACTGATGCTTTTTTTTATTGCACAGGTGCAGGTGTATATACAGCCATGTGAGGGTACTGAGGAAGGAGGGAGATAACTGGTATCACCACTTCATGGAGTACAGAAAAATCCGTGCAGACTGGGTTGGGTTCTGCTGTTCATGTTTCAAACAAAAATAAACATGAGCAATTGAAAAATGATCAGAAATGCATTACAGGAATTATGTCTGGGAAACTTCCTCAGTTGAGGAGAGGGCAACAGGAGGGTTAGAACCAGCTGGTGATATCTGACAAGGGGAAAACTTTTCTGTAACAGATGGCTTTTAATATTTTAGGTAAAATTAGAAAAATTTCAGAGGCTAAAAACTGAATCTATGAGAAATCAGGGTAGAGGTGGGGTATTCATTTTCAACAGTAAGGATGATTAATGGCTGAAGCAATTGGTTTTGGATTGTAATAGATTTGCCATCATTTGCAATCTGAAAGCCAAGGCTGAATGCATTTCTCAGAGGCTGTGCCCCAGCTCATCCCTCAGCTCTGTCTTCACTCCAGGGGTACCAAAGAGTGCTCTGTAGCCCATGTTGTGGGAAAGGTAATTTTGAATGGCTACAGTTACCCCCACTGGCCTTAAATCCTGTTTAGGTTTTTGTTGACATGATAAGCAATATGTAACAGGATCTGTAATGAGTGTGACATGGTTCCTACATCAGCCATGGATCACTCAGGGAAATCATGAAAAATCTGATGCTAACAGAAGACATTTCCACAGTTTTATTTTTTTTTTAAATTCATACCAAGCTTGACTTCATTTAAACCTATGGTTAGAGATAAAAGATGGATGCAAGCCAAGGCCAAGATCAAAGGGAACAGCATTTTTGTAAATATGATTCCTACTGTATTGTCTTTGTTAATTTGGGGGCTTTTGTCTTATAAAATATTATCTTTTCTTTTTAGTTATTTATAAACATGAATTTAAAACAGTGTCATTTTTTTCTAATAAAGCAAGAGCTCACATGATTAAAAACTGCTAAAGATCAGTAACATTTGAAAGAAGAAAAATAAAAAGAGGGAAATCCCTGTTTTTTACAATTTGGGAATTTTATTTGTATTCTCTGTGTGTGCATGGCCCTATCCAAGGGGAAGAGCTGTCCTGAGAAAATAATCAAGATGAAAAAGGTGATTTTAACTTTCTAATGCTGAACACTTCAAGATTTTTATTTTATCTTTTGCCAACTGTACTATCAAACTGTAAATAAAAATCAGGTGGGCTTAATTCCCCAAGAAGCTGCTGTAATTCTGGATCTGACTTCAACAGTGCAACAATAGGCCCTGTGGAGTAATTTGAATACAAATTTCAGTGTTCTGATTTCTCTGTTCTTCTAAGCTACCATACATTAGGAGGATCTATGAATTTTATATTGAACATGTAAAACATAGGCTTTTTTAGTTAAATAATTTTTATTGGAACTTTTACCAACAGCATCATTTATCCTAGGATTTTACCCTGTCCATTAACATAGCATGAGATTATCTTTCACAAAATGGGTAGGAAAACCAAATCCCTGATGGAACCAAACAGTAATTTCAGCAATGAAATCAGACACTATTGTGAAGATTGTTAACATGATAGAAAAGATGGGGCTCAGCAAACAGAAGTCAGCAGCTGGGTGTCTGCCTCTCAAGGAACACAGATGATGTCTCATAGGGTCAGACAGTGACTCATCCTTGGGCTCCCCTCCTCCCAGATGGCAGCTGCTGCATGGAAGGGAATGGGGCTGGGAAGCAGGACATGGAATGGGACAGGAAATGGGGCAGGGAATGGGGCTGGGAAGCAGGACAGGGAATGGGACAGGGAATGAGGCTGGGAAGCAGGACACCCAAACCTCATCTGTTTCACTGGCAATGTGGGACAGCTGTATCCTTGCAGAAGAGCCTGTTGCAAATGCTACACAGAAAACTGCAAAGCCAGGTAATTTTACAAGTGTGCCAACAGTTAGAGCTGATAGGGTTTTTAATCTGTGCATTTTAGAGTTGTGGAAGACCAGCATTAGATTTTTTAGTTCAGGATTTATTTGGAGAAAGAATTCCAGCTTCAAATTTTTAAACATTAGTTTAAAAGGTAAGGATGAGCAACTTTGAGATAAACAGCAATAAACTGCAACTTTTACTTATTTCTGCATTTCCCCTTCCTTAAGCAGTACTTGAAATAATATGCTCATTTAGAATCCTTCTGTTTTCTTCTCCAACACATGTAATGAGGGTCAAAGGAGTTTCAAGTGCAGAGAGTGTCAGCCATCCCTGTAATGCCTTTAGGACCTCCCCATTCTCCTGGCTGGTGCACTGCAAATCAAAGGGGGGAACATACAGGTTGAAAAGCATATGCTCAAATAAATCAAGGAAAATACCCCAAATTCAGCACAAGGTGAATGTATTGCTGCAGTGGAACAAAGTTTGCAAGTGCAGGCACAGCCAGCTCTTCTTGATATAGTGAATTTTGGGTTCTTGACTCTTATTGGATTGGAAAGGTTTTCCAAAATGGAGAACAAAAAAAATAAAGGTTTGGAGTGAAGACATTCTGATGCATGGAAAGGACTCGAGGACACTTTCAAAAGTCTGTTTGACTAGTGATACATCTATTAAATTTATTTCTTGGTAATTAAACTATTAGAATCAAGCAGGCAGTGGTGGAAATCCCTACCTGGGGAGCACGGCAGGCATGCTTCTTGTACCTGGGAGAGGAGCAGCAGGAGGAACAAGGAAGGCGGTTCATGGAACCAGCCACCATTAAGATGTTGTTACAAAGCTGTTGCTTACTGCATTGTTACTAGCTTCCTACAAAAGCCATTGCCTGCTAGAAGTGAAATTCTAAATTCTAACTAAATTCAGAAAATTATGGACTCACATTGGAACCAGACACAAAGTGTGGACTTAGCCTTAGGTATATTAATTGTATCTGTTCATTCTTAAAAGCATTCTAATCTTCAGATAAGCCTGGAAAATATTTGATAGCACAATAAATTAGAATAAAGGAGTTATGGTATCGTTTAAAATCTTGGCCAGCCACTCACTCCCTCCCTCAGAGTGGGATGGAGGAGACAATCAGAACAGTAAAGGTAGGAAAATCTGTGGGTTGAGAAAAAGACAATTTAACAGGTAATAATGCAAAAGGCATGTGAGCAAGCAAAGTGAAACCAGTAATTAATTCCCCACTTCCCATGGGCAGGCAGGTGTTCAGCCATTCCCAGGAAAGCGGGGATCCATCACATGGAGACTTGGGAAGACAAATGCCATCAGTCAATATGTGTGCCCCCTCCCTCACTGCTTCCTTCTTCTTCCATCAGATTTATGCTCAGCACGAAGCCATAGGGTGTGGGATGTGGGATATCCCTGGGTCAGCTGTCCTGGCTGTGTCCCCTCCCAGCCCCTTGTGCACCCCCAGCCTCCTGTCTGCTGGGGTGGGATGCTGGACAGGAAAGGCCTTGGCTCTGTGGAAGGGCTGCTCAGCAACAGCTAAAATATCCCTGAGCTCTGTTTCCAGCATGAATCCCAAGCACAGCCCCACACTTGCTGCTCTGAGAAAATTAACTCTATCCCAGCCAAAATCAGCACATGTGGAGCTCTTCCTCACTCAAATTAAAATGCTGATGTAGTTCACCAGAATTAATGATTCTATGAGTGGTTTTCACAATATGGCTTTTAATTCCAGTGACATTCAAGCAAAGATTTATTGGAAACTAAACATAAAACACCCGCTGCTTTGTTACAAATGAAGTAGAGAGATAGCAGCTGGTTTTCCTGCAACCCCTGTTCTTTCAAAAATTTCTACCTACTGCATCCATCTTTATTTGTACTTAGGCATAAATTGTGATCCATTTACTTCTGTCAAGGAAATAAAAAATAGGTTGGTAAAGATTTTAGCAAAGATCATATTTTAAAGATGAAATTCAGTTCTCTTTTAGGTGAAGAACAGTAATAGTGGAACACAGGAGGCATGCCATATAGAACTATAAGTTTTGCTTTAAATGTCAGCCAAATTAACATTATGGGACATGACACACCTCCTAATTAAAGAAACAAAACCAAAAAAACAACTAACTAAAAAAAAAAAATCTAACCATTGACTACTGACATTAAAGTATCATCGACTTCAACATAAAATTGATCCTTTAGAAACTAATAGAGCCAAACCTCTTATTTAAAGTTCTCCTTAACAATTGCATCTGCTTCTATTCTGTTTAAATCCAGATCTCATTTTATTCATGCATGCATAGAATGAGGCCAAATGCTTGGGGACAAGAGTTCCCAGGGAATAAGTGATCCAATGAGCCATTTGTACACACATCATGTCTAATCAGGCCAAGGTGGGGAAAATAAAAATTATCACATTATTAAAATCTGAAGTTTGGGAATCTTTTTTATCTCATGGATTTCTGGTGAAGGTGAATGAATTATTTAAGCTAATGATAAGAAAAATGCACTTACATTACTTGGGTAATTTCCCTCTCTGCTGTTCTCCAGAGCCATCTATTTCTCTGCTCTTATATAGTCCACTCAAAGTCTATGAAAGAGAAGCAGACAGTACAACACACAAATATTTCCAAAATTATCAAAATGGACATTCATTTTTGCATGATTAAAAGAAGAAATTCAAAGTATTGATAAATAGTAAAAGGAATTAACTTCTTTTAGAAGGCCTCAACCATGACACTTCCATTTTCTTCTATCTCAGTGTCATTGACACAAAAAAACACTTGGAAATCTGTGGTCATGCAAGTTTGACTCTTCAGGTAAATTGAGGATTGTACTGCTCTTTTTGCACCTTAGCAGCCTTTAATTCTGTACACATATGAGTCTAAGTGGGATCAAAGCATGAATTATTGAATAGATAAAATTATTCAATGAAGAAAAGGAAGGAGTGGAAGAGCCTAACAGAAAGATGAAAATCAGAAAATAATTTTCTGGTTAAGATTATGCAGTAAAAATTTTGAATCTTTTGCATATCAAATGCATTTCACTAAAGGAATTCCCTTTTAAAAAGGTCTCTTTAAAAGTAATATTAAATTGGAGCACCTCAGGAGAATATCAATGAGCAGCTGTTAGACCTGTCTCCTGGGTAAGCAGGCTCTCATGCCTCCTGTCACATGCTCCAGCAGATAGGTAGGCAGAAATAGGGTAGTTTTGTGCTATTTATTATCTTTTCAAACCTGTCATAAATCAGTATTGCCAACATATACTAGAGAAAAACAATTAGAAAACAGTTGTTGGAGAAAGCCCAGGTTTAGCATTGAGCAGAGAGCTAGAGGTCACACTGTATTAACTAAGTTAATCTAAGTATTCTTCCTTGTCCAAAAATCTATTCTTCTTAAAAATGCATGATTCTATTTTTCCTGATTCAAAAATCAATATTTCTTGAAAATGCGTATTCTCAAATATTCAGAACTTCATGACTCACCATTGCTTCGAGAGTAGTTAAGCTAAGAGCTGCTTCCATAAAACAGTCTGTATTTGGATGAAACAATATTTTTTGAGAGAAGTCCTGTTGTGAAAACCTCTTAAGCATGTCAGGTCAAAATCAAGTCTCTGGTCCTGAAACAGAACCATTTCAATCAGCAGGATTTCATCAGTGCAGCTTGGAATAGAATTTGCCCATTAGCATGTTTAAAGCATTTGCTCACTGCCAGAGTGCTACCTTAATTCACTTTTCTGAATAAACTTCAATTTCAGCACTCAAAAGCAATTTCATATTGTGGGCAAATGAAATTATTTCAATCATAATGTGAAGAAGCAGAAAGGGCTAAGTAATTGCAAATGAAATATAACTAAATAAGGATGCTATTTATTTTTGAAACTCCCAGATGTGTGCTACATGTTTGTAATAGAGCATATGGCCACTTCTTGGCCTTAGGGATTTTGAGCTAGCTCTGCTTTGGCTGAACACAACTGTTGGAAATCAGTTAAAGAACACAAGTTCTAGCTAAAGAATGACTGGGACCCATCCCACAGGAGCAGAGAAAGAAGAAACAGACTTCCTCTAGCCATTTTTATGAGCACTTGAAGGTTGAAATGGAATTTTTGCCCCTACCTAGTGAAATTAATTTTTTTTATGATGCTGGAATTAGCTGTAGAGTTTGTGCAGGATGAAAGATCAATTATTGCTTTGGAAGGAAGATTAAAGCTTTATTTCATTATCTGGACGGCCCTATTTACTCAAATTGTAGAGAGACAGCTGAGTGGTGAGAGCTGGTATTTACATGGAACTGGGTGAGATCAAGCTACTGAGTTGAATAAGAAAGATAAATGTTGTCTAAGAATGAATAGAAAAGCCAATAAAGATGTTATAAAAAAGCATGACAAGCAGCCCTAGGGACAGACAGAGATTACAGCAATGTACAATAGTGTGTCTTCTAAAAAACACTTAAAACCAAACAACTGAAATTGCTTTGCAGAAGACTGCTTTGCTCAGTCTCCTGATGCTTCATCTAATTCAGACTTCACCTGAGACTTCGCTGACACTTCTTTACCTGATCTGGGCTCTGCAACAGGCAAAGAAGGTAGTAGAAATTCCTAAGCAAGTTATGGCTATGCATACCACAAAACAGAACTGAAGATTAATTATGATGTGAAGCAATTCCTGAAGCAACCCAAAGCAAGCAGGTAATTTACCGAATGGTCTGTGCTTGCCATCTAGTGGTACAAAGCCAACATTTTTTTTTTCCGGCTGCATGAGACTCAGCTGCTGAAATTTCCTATCTCAGAAGCAAACCTCTCCCACATAGAAATGTTCCTGCTCTCGGGATGATGGTGGTGATAAGTTTACAACTTTCAGGAACCAGTAGCAGAAATTTTTCAGCCCTTGACCCCCCAGACTTAGGACTAGCTGATCAACAAATTAGCAAGGGTTATCCAGTAATTAATTGATCTGTAGCTCCAGTATCCTGGTTACTGCTCCAGTCTTTTGTTCTTGCAGGTGAAGACTTTAAGAATATTCAGACACCCAACATTTCACTGCTTTCTCTGAGAATTCAAGCAACGAAATATGAAAGCGTTTTGAGAATATGTTCTAACATCTTTTAAACCACACTTATAAAACTCTTGGCCAAAGGCCCTCCAGGTTTCTAAAGGCTTCAGCTTTGCTTTACAGCATCTCTGTATGAAAACCTATGATTATTTTCCAACCAGGAGACTGATCTACAATGAAATTAGCAGCTCATTAAAAAACTGTGCAGGGAATACATACCATTCTGGCACTGGAACACATATACTTAATATGAGCTATAGGACTAGATTTTTTGCTTTCAAAACATTTCAAGAATACTTGAATAAAGAATTTAGTAAAAGGAATAATTTTATTTCTCAGTTATGGCATAGAGTAAATACAGGAAAATTAATAGAAATATATTTTATCAGAAAAAATTATATACAGCATTATATCTAATCATACATATTACTCACCTGGATTTCTTACTATCTATATCTATCCACAAAATAATAATTCTATATTGATTTTCATCTGTAATAAGGAAATTTAAACTAATTCCCACGTCCCAATTTTCTAGCAAATATTTTAGTACATTAACATTAATATTTGAAAATTATTTTAATTTTACTACAAAAAAACCCCAAAGCTATGAATTAAGACTTGGAGTTTTCCTAATATCCCTGTGATTCAGGAGGAGATCTTTCTGGGATTTTCTGTTCTAAGCCATACAGAATTTTTTGTAAACTCCTTTCACAAATCACAATGAATGAAAACAAAGCCATACAAATTGTATAGAGAACAAATCCCAGTTGACCAAAACAAAGATTAATGAGATTGAATTAACTTTACTATGTAGAGTTAATCATATTAACACTAATATGATTCTGAAAAGTGTATTTATACAATAACACCACATATATAACAAAACATGCGGAAAGAAAAAAAATTTACATGCTATTAGCTATTGTCCCTTCTTTAAAAAAAAAATTATTGAATCTTCTATTTATTGGGCAGCTGCTGCATTCACTCATCCATTCATCCACTCTCTCAACTGTAATTTATGTAATTAATTATTCAATCAATTGTTCACTGAGGGACCGTATATGATCTATGTTTTACAATTGACCTCAAAGAGCGAGGCAGCTGAATGCATCCGATAGAAAATAGAAAAAGGCATCGCAAGGTTCACAACAATTATCCAGGGTTCAAAGCCAAAAACTATTTCTTCCAGTCCATTGTCATACTCCGGGCGGCACCCGAACGCCGGTGGTATCCACAGCTGCAGGGAAAGAACGTGAGGCCAGTATTAATCACCAGCCCTACAAGTCAATAGCCCTTAATGACTGTGACTCACCGTGCTGCACACTGGTTTCAGGAGTCCCTAAGAAATCCCTCCCTGTTGCTACGGGGGCACACTGGTGGAAGAGGGTTTCTGCTTCTGCTGTTGCTACATATTTTGGACAGTTACTTAAAGGAACTTCCCATGTTCCTCATTTAAATAAACTTTGTTCCCCAAAAGCATATTCACTTCTTCCAGAAGTAAAATATTCTGCCTAAAAACTATAGAACAATGCAATTTTAATGTACTTATCAGACTTGAAAGGATGGGAAGCTTTTGGGTATTAACTTGTGAACTACATTCAAAATGTCTTACCGAAAGGTTGCAGAGGAATAAAAATGCAGCGATGTTCTTCAAAATTCTCCTCTTGTTGTTAGTAACTGAGTTTCTGCTGTAAAATGAGAAATCTGAGGCTGAGTGCATGACCAAACTATTGTCCTGACTTGTTTCTTCTCTAGCAACACCAGCAGCATCGTTTTCTCTCCCACAGATGCTGCCTTTAAACAGACAGGGTATGTCACCGCTGTCACGAGCAGCTCTGCCATTGTAAATCTCTTTGTACAAGGGGCTGAGGGACAAGGTGCTCCCCCGAGATATGGTCACTATTCGAAGAGTTTTAATGTCCTCATTCACCTTCTCCTGCTCACGGTGGATGGATTCAATGATAAAGAGGTTCTGAATGTATTTCTCGATAATCACCAGAACAGAGTAGGGCAGGTTATACCATGTGTATTTGGGATGACCTTGGGCACAGATAATGGCAAGGATTGAGCCCCAGGAGAGCAGCCAGGACCCTGCAGCTGTGCCCACCAGCAGCTCTGCATCCAGTTTTCGAGCAGGGTTCTTGGAATTATCCAGTGATCTATCCTCCAGTCTGTAGATGAGAAGGGCGACAATTCCAGCCGTGCACATGAGAGCCAACACGAAGATAGCGTGCAAGTAAAACATAGTGAGTGCTAACTCACTCTTGATTTTTGAGCCTCCAATCTGAATTAAATACACAACAACTATGCCTATTGTGCTAGTTAACACGATTAGTCCAAAAATCATTCCAACAGTTATGCCATGGAATTTGAATGGAGTCTTGGTTTGCTGGTGGTGCTCAACTTTCCGCCCAATGTTCTTCCACAGGACATAGAGCATCGTGGATGCCAGGATGTGGTACTCTATATTAAAGGGATATAGGTAATATATTCCCTGAGAAAATATTGAGCAGAGAGTTGTTGTTGTGCAGTTGCATTGAGGTGCATGATCATCTAGAACTAAAGGAGAAGGAGAGATCAGTTATGTGCATTATCAAGGTTCCTTGTTTAAGTGAATAAATAAAACATAAATATTGAAACAGAAAAGGTAAGACTTCAGTCAAACAACACCCAGTTACCCACCTAAGAAAAGGCTTCCCCGTGCTTCACTGGGGTTTGAAAGCAGAAGGCATCCCCAGCAGTTGTCATAGAATGGCCTGGGTTGGAAGGGACCTTAAAGATCATCTATTTCAAACTCCCCCTCCTGCTGTGGGCAGGGACCCTTCCACCAGACCAGGTTGCTCAAAGCCCCATGAACATTTCCTTGAACATTTCCAGGGATGGAGCATCCACAGCTTCTCAGAGTAACCTGTCCCAGTTTCTTACCACCCTCACAGTGAAGAACTTTTTTCTTTATATCCTCCTTACCCTAAATATTTGCTGACTACAACTTGCACAATCTTGCCAATGGAGAAAATTATTCATTAGTAAAAAAAACACCCAGAGCAAAGTCTTTGTCTTGTAAAACAGCACTAATTGATAGCTTATATTCTTTTGAGCCATCCCACAGAATCCTGTAGGACCACAGGCTACATGCAATCACTCTCCTGGGAAAGATTTGCAAGATTATCCATATTTGGTTTTTTACAAATAACTTCGTAAGTAGTAAACTCTTTTTTAACACTGCTATGTTAATGTATTACTGTGATTTAGTAATAAAGTGGTTCCTTAGTGGTGTTCCTCAGTGATGCTATTCCTGAAAAGAAATGTTCTCAAAAAATCTGTTTGGAACTTAGAAGAAAATTACTGCCTTGTTCACATACATGATAATGATCATATAACATTTCAGTATCAGCTAATTACCATGTGCCCCAGAATGACTATGCTGACATAATCATGAATGACTTAGCTAAATCCTACAGTGACAGTGTTTTGTATGAGTGTGCTAGAGCAGGAATTTCACAATGCACCAAGCCTTTTGCTTACCTATAGTTATGTTCCCAAAACCAAGTGTGATTAGTCTTTCCTTATGTTCATTCAATTGATGTTTTGACTCTGTTAACACGCCATTTGTCCACAGGAGCAGATTTGTGAAAACAGAATGGATGACACCAAACCTACAAAACAAAGTGATTATTGCAGGAATCCTCACAGACTGTATCTCATTAAATACGTGAAATGAAATTAAATGGATTAACTTTCTGTGTACAAGCTATATGGCACTATTTATTTGTCAGTGCAAGGGGAGAGTTGAAAAATCATCACCAATCTCTAAAGATGTTCTGCAGTCACTTAAATCAGTCTTCCAAAACCTTACAGAAATGCAATCTATTAAATGGCCTAATGCATTAAACTATTAATAGAATGTTTTTATTGTTTCTTATGCTCTCTTATGTGATGGGTTTTATTCTTTGGGCTGGACAAGCTTAATGTTAGTAGTTGAACAATCTGAACAGGATTATTTGTTTGCAATTCATATTTCACAGCCTTCTGCAGTGCTTCTTCATATTCTCTGTCTGATCTTTCTTCACAGATACCACCATCATCTTCAACTTCTTGCCCATGCATTTTTATCTTCTGGAGAGAGCTGAAGCTATCAGAGGGCTTTATTCCATTCAAAGTACAAATGTGGGTAGGTCTCCATGAATTTTTGAGGCTCCTGGCCTCTGACAAGTCACTTCAACTGGGTGAAACAGAATGGCATTGGAGAAAGAAGTGTATTAATGGTTCTGAACTTCCTAATAAAATCCAGAAAAAACATTGTCCTCTGTTGCCAAGCAGTTCCCTTTTTAATAGGAGATCATGTATCTATCTCTTTCCTAGACAAATCATTTCACCTACCAATGCCAGGTGATCACCTGCACCTGAGGCTGTTTATGTTTCTTCACCAAGAAACAGTTCTTAATTACAACACTGTTCTCAGTGATAAATTTGCAGTTAGAATTTTTTAAAATCTACTTATAAACAGAGCTGATAGCACCAGCTGACATTGCACAGCCTTTTGTAATCACTCTCTTCCTGAGCATGGGGTTTCAACACTTACCCAGGAGAGCAGAACTAATGGGGAACCTTCACCACAGATGATGTTCCTGAGCAAATTTATTTTACCTCCTATAGAAACTGGTCAGATCATTGATAACTTCAAATAAGTACTTTAAAAATTACCATGTTTGCTTATCTATGTCCTATGTACAGACAGATTAATATACATTAATCCACCTTCGCACAAAAGTAGAAAACACATTGGATCTGATTTGGTACCAGGATACCACCAGGGAGGCTGTGTTTCCAAGTGCATGTGCACAGCTACATCCAGCACAGCTGTGAGGTGTGGTTGACATGCCTGAGGGATGGGATGCCAGAAGGACCTGGATGAGCTCAAGAAGTGGCCCTATGAGAACCTTATGAGGCTCAAAAATGCCAAGTGCAAGGTCCTGCACCTGGGTCAGGGCAAGCCCCAGCACCAATATGGCTGGAGACATTCAAGGTCAGGTTGGATGGACCTCTGAGCAACCTGATCTAGTTAAAGGTGTCCCTGCTTATTGCAGAGGGATTGGACTAAATGGCTTTTAAAGGTTTCTTCCAAACCAAACTATTTATGACTCTAAGACCTAGTTTTAAAAAGGTGCCTTCCATAAAATCAATATCAAATACCTCAGTTACAGTACATTGACTGCAGGTTGCTGATACAAGTTCCCTTTCAGTAGGTAAATAAATAAAACATAATATAGTGCATAGTCTTGAAACACATATATGATCCTTCCTTCTTAACTAACTCTGTGATATCAAATATTGATACCACAATAAGATAAGATACCATTTTCCTCTCTCATGAGAAAAATACTTGTATTCTGACACTATTTTGTGTTACAAAATATCAGGGCAGGTTAAATAAGGGTAAATGGAGTTACTTCAACTGTTCTGTTTCTTTATACTTAATGCAATCCAGAAGAGAATCAATCTCTATATTTTCACTGTCTCTCATACAATAAAACTTTGGTGTTAAAGCACTGTATAGACCTACACCTATTAACATGCAGATGAGGATCAGATCCACTTTACCTTTCAAGTGTTTTGAAAGATTGGATAACATCCTTTGCATGACACCACAGAAAATACACCTAAATAGAAGAAATACAAAGAAATATTGTTACACTAATGCACATGTGTAACACTCAGAAAGGAATATGCATCTGTAGATAGACATTCAAATGGTTAAAACTTCTGATGATTCAAATTGAGGCAGCTCCATCTCCACACATGTGAAAGAGCTCATGATTTAATGTGATATTTACACAAATCCTGATATTTCTTACATGAAAAATCAGTGGCTTAACAGCAGAAAATCTAAGTATCACTCATTAAAACACATTTTCCTTCTGTATCTGAAGAGATTTTATTTCAATGACAAACAAAATAAAGGTTGTGGATAGAGGTATGATTGCTGCAGGGCATGGTGATGCAAAGTTTGAATAATTTATGAAATATATTAAATTCTATGGAGGGAAAGAGATTGATGAAAGGATGCCAGACTCGACTAATAAAACAACAAATTCCCAGGAAGCATGAGAAAAGTTTGTACTAACTGCATGAGAGACAACCCCATTAAAAACACAGCAGCTGCACTCAAGGATAGTGCAGAAAACTTCAACAAGAAACAAAAGAGAGAGATAACAATAATAAGTTAGCAAGTCAAGGCAAAGAGGAATAAAATTAGAACTCTCTGTGACAGCATAATGGAGACCTCAGAAAAAGACTGCCACTGAAACAAAACCAAGCGTGGATAGGTTCAAGAAGAACTATACCAATGTTCCTCATGGATATTAGGGTGACATTAACAGCTCAATAGTTCCTAGGATACTGAACTCATCACTAGGTAAACTATCAGGAGAGAAAGAGTCCCAAGATTTCTCTTAGAAACCTGCCTGGTTTGGTACTAAAGAAATGGTCTGAAAAGTGATAAAAACTTTGGGTTCTTCTTCAGCAACCAGAGTAAACTGGAAGTCCATTTTTCCACAGCATCCATTACTGCAGGATGCCTTCACAGTCACTATTTCTGAGGCAAGCAAAGCTAGACAAATGCAGCTTTTTATGGCTCAACTCTGCTACCCAGCAGTAACAATTCCTCTAATGAAGCATTTATCAATGAGAGGAGTGGCCACCATAAAATACCAGATGTAAAGATAAAAATATTTCATGTAGGCTTCAACTGAAATAAAATTAAAATTACCTTAGTCTCTAATGCCATATTCACTTTACCATCCTGGGATAAATGCAGTAAAATCTGACAGCAGATTTGAAACCATTCTTTAAAACTTATAAAAACATAAGTTTTGATGATCTGTTCAGACACAGGATAGTGGGAAGAAATAGGAAAACTCAGTATAGAAATAACATAAAATCCAGTTTGGCTCACAGAATACTCAGAATACTTCTGCCTGCAGAAAAACATAATGCACAGCCTGCCCTGGGAGGGCAGGTACATGTTAGCTCATACATGAGTGCAGAATGTATATATTCATTTCATGACATGTATCAGGAGGCCTCACTTTGAGTAAATGACAACAGAATCTGATACATATCCACTAGAAAACAAATCCTTTGGTTTTTAGATGACACATATTAGGGATGTTTTCTGCTGTGATTTCATTCACTGTTTCAAAGACACAAGAAGATTTGTCTTAGGTAAGAGGTATGTGGTTCATTACTTTTTAAATTTAACTTTTTCTTTGATTTCTCAGGCTAACATTCAAGTGTTCATTATTTTAAACTCTGTAGATGATAAATTAAATGACACTGGGTGATGTAAAATTTAAATTAGAATTCTTATTGACTTTGTTCAGCATTTTTATTCATCGTTCTTCCACATTCCAGTTCATGGTGGCTGGAAACCTTGTCAGCTCTGGGTCACTGGCTGCAGTGAAGAATGCTGTGTTCAGATCAGCATACAGAAGAGCTTAATTTCATTGATTTGTTTTTCAGAGATGAAGGAATGAAGTTGCAGGACATGGAGAGTGGATTTTACAAGAATGTAAAACTAAGATTACTTCAACCAACTCAGAAGTTCGGAGAAAAACATAGATGGGCTGAGAGTAACTGTTTAAATTTCAGGGTTTGGTTGGTTGTTTGTTTGTTTTTTGTTTTGCTTTTTTTTTTTTACTGTCGAAGAAAGCAGAAAAATGTAGGTTGTTCAATCACAACTGCTAGGAAAACATTTCTTTTCTTTCTGAATGACATAAATCCCTTGGAAAATTCATAAAAGTGCCTGGCTATGATTGAATATTTCATCTGAGTGGCTTTTTCTTCCTTCTTCCCTACAAACCTGCTGACAGGGGTTCAGAGGAGCTAATGTGAGAACCAAACAGCTATGGAGTGCCACCACACACTCTAGACCCAAAGCCTTATAACAAACAGATGGAATATTTCACAGGAGTCCCTGACTATGTTTGCTACTGGGCAGCCACTGATAAGAACAAGCAAGTGCTTCTAGAAGAAAAATCCAAGTTCATTTTTACAGGAAAGCTGTGCAAGTATTTTAGAACCAGCTAGGAAGGGTTTTGTCCCCTTTAACTTATCCAGCCTACACCTCTAACCACAGAGGAGCATCAGGTTAGACAGATGGAATTGAACTTGTGTGGCAAGTCCTACATACATAAGCAAGGGAATTGTCTTTAGCCAAAATACTCATTTCAGCCTGAAAATTCTGTATGTAACTTCAACCAAACAAAAAGGACACATAACTTCAACTGCAGGAGAATATTTTTTTATTATTTTTTTTTCACACCCATGTTTGAAACCCATGAATTTTATGGCTAAGCAACTTCAGGTTGCAAACCTTGAATTTACTATACACACACAAGACTTTAGTCCTCAAAAGTATTCTGTGATATGCTTAGAAATCAAATTAGTGTTAAGTCCACTGATGACAAGATAAAATATATTTTTGAAAAGAAACAAAGAGTAATATAAAAGTGCAATCAGTGACTTTTACCTGTAAGGTGGTGTGGACAGCATGTGTAACAGGAAAAATGCCTTCAGTTGGTGATAAACAGTTTGAAAAATCAATATAATATCCAATTTTAAAGGAATCCAGAATTAAAGTAATCACTGCAAATAATGTAATCCCACCTACGAATGAAAAAGATATTAGAAAATTTAATGTATAGTTATAGTGTCTAGAGACTATTTATAAAATATACAAAAACCTATTTAGGGGAATGAAAGCTGACCAACATCTGTGTTCTTGTTTAGGGAAATAAGAGTGGAACAATGCTCAAGAAGATAACTGACTCTATGAAATAAGTGCCTCTAATTTGTGAGAGCCTCTGCCCAGTACATGAAGCAGGGTCACCACGGGCAGCCCCTGCATGGTCAGGGAGGAGCTGCCAGCCCTGCCCTGCCCAGGACATCCAGGGAGGCGTTGCCAGCCCTGCCCTGCCCAGGACATCCAGGGAGGAGCTGCCAGCCCTGCCCTGCCCAAGACATCCAGGGAGGCGTTGCCAGCCCTGCCCTGCCCAGGACATCCAGCCCCAGCAGAGTGCCCAGCTCTGGGCAGGACAGGCTCCCAGGTGACTGTGGCACTGAAACAGCCATGGAGAGCAGGAATTCCTGCCCTCAGCAGCCCCACAGCAAACCGGGCACTCCTGGGAGCTGAACAATCACCTCACAGCCCCCAGCCCAGCCCCTGTACAGTGGGCAGTAACACAATCACTTGGTGTGCCCTCCCCATGGCTGGGGGGTCACACTGCAACTCAGAGACCACAACCACAACGAGCTGTATGGTTTGTTCTCCTGATAAAGAACCAAAGATTTAATTTCAGCATCTGTATTTCACACACACACACAAATATCCTAACATATTACTCTATACCCTAAAGAACTTTGAAATACATTTCCCTCTGTTCATTTTTTTGTTGCTGTTATTACTGGGTTTGTACCTGTACGACAAAGTATAATTGGCTACAAGATTACTGAACCAAACCTTGGTTTTGGTTTGTTTTGAGGGATTTTTTGGGGGCATGGATGGGGTTTTTTTTCCTTTATTAAAGCTTTTTTCAAGCAAGTTTTCACTGGATTTAATTTGGACTTATTTGAATGAAGACTAGATAAAAATTTATGCATGGACCTTAACCAGACCTCATGATGTAAACCAGCATCAGTAACTTAATCTTTCTTTGCAATTCCTCACAGAGTAAATAACATCACCAGTATTGACTTGGATTAGTATTTATCTTTTATATGGAGCCACGCCCTATAAGTTCTAGTTCAACCTATAACTTGCATGTAAGTACCATGTGTTCCACTTGACATGTGGTATTAAAAAAGTAACACTAACTTAAAAATTTATTTAATTAATACCTTTATTCTCGAAGTTGCATTGATAAAAATTAAGTAGAAATTATATAAACACACTGTAATTTTGTTTTTTCATTGACTATTTAAAATGAAACAAAAACAGACTTCAGAAACCTTTTCAATCACAAGGGAATGAATTCCAACAGGATTTTATGCTTCTGCTTTATAATCTCTCTATAATAAAACACTGTAAAATTACTGGTTGAGTGTAATTTCTACCCAGAGCTCAAAACTTCTGCTTATATATTGCAAAATCTAAAACCTCAGGTCTGGACTTCATACATGTGTATGATCCCACAGAATTTTTTTAAATGTATGCTTCTTAGGTCAGCTAATTTGTATTCTGACACATGTAACAGGACTGGAGCCCATGTTTTTAAATAGAGGTGCCATTTTTATTGTGTATGAAACTAAATGGTATCATAAAATACAAATTTATAGGCCACTCTTGAGATCAAATGGTATGTTTCTTGCTTTATCTAAAGAATGTTAATTATGAAATAAATTAGAATTTCTAGTTCTGATGATATAATTATAAATATAACTGATTATAAATCACTCTGCCTAAGTAGGCACGCTCTGAGCAAGATAGACTTGATGAACTTCAGAAGTCCTTTCCCACCTGAATTATTTTAAGATTGATTTTGTGATTTATGATTTATTTACAAAGTAGGCAGGAAACAGCCTATTTGTCTGAAATGAGTCCATTTCACATGTGTTATGATTGTTTCAGTAAGAAGGCAAAAGCTATCTTCTGAAGTATAAAGTTTATAGACTACTGACCTCCAAGGATTAGAAGACTTTATATGACTCTTAATTTTAGATTTTTTCATTTATTCAAATGGTATTTAGAGATTTCTGCAATCACCCAGGTGGCCCCACTACAAGTGTATACAAAGTGTCCAACATGCTTATTTATAGGCTTCAAGAGAGAATTATTGTACTAATTTTCTTAGTCAAAAATTAAAGCACAACAATAATGGCCATGCATATGGTATGTTAATAGGTTTTCTGACAACTTTTTGTGATAGAAACTTCAGTAGTATGTACTAATACTAAAAGGACACCAGTAATTTCAAGGAAGATAATACCACCACTTAGTAATTTTCATTTAAAATTGTAAGAAATGTGAAATTATTGCTGTTGAGCACTGGTTCATTATTTTTTCCTTCCAAACATTCATTGAAACCTCTGTGTTTTAAGGGATCACTAATAGGATTTTCAATATTGCTAAGTGGTGGCTCATTTCTTGCTAGTTACCATCAAGAAGATCAGAAAAACATAATGATACAATTGCAAAAACACCAGTCCCACTTTAAAATATTGTTCAAATAATTGGCAATTCAATGCAGGCAGTAAAAAGATACAAGTCGAAGTCTGTCAAGAGTTTTTAAGTGGACCAGTTGTCAATAGTTTAAACAGAAACTGTGCTGCTAAAGAGCGTGATAAAATAAAGCCATTTGTTGACTTTAAAATAAAGCCAACTGATTTTCACTTTGACTTCTCTGGCTCACTTCACTGCACTTTCCCAAAAAAATGGTCAGAGAGCTTTTTCTAGCAGGAGAGAATACTTAGGGGAATAACATTTGGAATAATCAAGGAAAGACTTCCTAAGGTTCCCTGTGGTAATTTGGGTCAGGATAACTGTGTTTTATTAAAGACACAGCTCTGCCACAAACTTTTCCCACATTCAGACTCCAAGAGTGCTTCTTGGTCAACCACGCAGGTGGGAGGAGAACCAAGCTTAAGAGTTCACACAATTGGCACCTTGGTGCGGAAAGGCTTGAGGAAACCTTCCTGTGAGCAGCTCTTGCAAACTGATCATCTGTCCTTCTAGTGTTGCTAAACACGTACGAAGAGTCAGTTATAGGAGGTTTTTGTTAAATCATTCCATTTCAAAATCTGTCAGAGCAAAATGGTCTAAGCAGGCAACTGCCACCACTTTTACTAAAGTGATATTCACAGTTTGAAAGGATTCATGAAAATACACTCATTTTATACTGTTTCATACAAGGACATTTGCTCTCACAAATACAGCAAAGAGATGTTCTTCAAAAGTAGCTGATAGAGCTAGTAAAAAAACTGCAGAAAGCTTTCAGTGGAAAAACCCAAACAAAATATGTCTGTCCCACTCCTTCCTCCCCTTTCCTTTTTGGACTTTTGATCTTTCAGGTAAAAGACTTCTATGACAAAAGCATGATAAAGAGGAGGGCATAGGGGATCTTGGCAGAGGAATTGCCACCTGAGTTTTTCCTTAGCTCAAATCAGTTTTCTTTTACCAAAAGAGGATAAAGGAGTTGTACAGCCTTGTTGTAGCTACAAGAAACTCCCAAGAATAGGAAAGTGTAGGTCATTCCCTAAGGGCAAATTTGTTGAATTGCAGCCTAAGAGAAGCCATGGAACCCACAGCACTTGAGAAGCCAGTACAAAGAGCCATCCTGTGCTGGTAAAAGAAATGGATATGGTAACCCAGTAGTTCAATCTAGGATCTTATTTCTAAGTTTCTGTGACTCCTTATATTCTGTAGGACAAATGAAATGCTGTGAATGCGGCGCCAAAAAAAAAGAGGGTGGGGGATCCTGCTGTACTTACCCATGCTAGGCAGCATTTATTCCATTTTTAGGAGGGGAAAGCTACCCTCTGAGTAACAAAAGCTCAGCTTGGCCCAAGGTAGGATCATATTAAGGCTTGCATGAATTTCAGGAGGTTGTAAGCCACATAAGCTAATAAATGAAAAATGCTTGAGAGATTAACATTTCCTTGAGAAATAATAAATAATCAAGAGGAACAATGTAACAGCTGGCATGTGAACTCCATACATTTCAGGAAGGAGTCTACAGACCATGGCTATACATAAGACATTAAACAAACCAGGTTTTCTGTCAGCGATTCAAACACAAATGTTAACTGTTGTGAAGAAAGTAAGTGATACACAAGCACTGAGATTGAGAACTACATTTCCACAGCACAACCTTACTTTTCAAAACCATCAGGTGTCAGGTGTTCCTGGAATTTTCATTTAGATGTTTAATTAGCTGTTGTCTCATTGCTAGTAAGTAGAAAACATTTTAGGGGAAATCTGTCATAACATTCCACTTAAATACTTTCCAATCTATCATTCACAGTGCTGAGACTGGAAGAGGCTGGTAAAACTGGGATTGCCTATTATTGCACAAGCACTGATGTAGGCTGTTCCTTTTCCTTGGTACCTGAAAACACAGATTCCTGTCACCACAATTCTGTGATGTGCTGCCCAAACACCTTCTCTCAATTACCTATGTATCCTCACTCTGGTGCACAGCTGACTGCAGATAAGGACCAGCACACCCCACCACTACCCTTGCAAACTTGTATACTTTTTCTGCAAGCAAATGCTTAGTTTATATTCCTTGTTTAACTGCTTTATGTGCTGATTACAAACTGATCTGGTCAGGGATTTTGTCTTCTTCTGTCTAACTCTAGATGTTTCAAAAGCATCACTGTACATATATAAACAGGAATCTCTGATACATGTTGGTATAGACAGAGCTTCAGAACCTTTCTGACTGGTACTACCATAAAGTAAATTGCATTATACCATCTGGAAAAGGTGATATTTTCTCTAAAACAGCTGCAAGACAGCAACAAAACTGCCTCTTCCACTAGCCATATTTTATTTTTCAAGTTCACCAAACCAGCCGGGTAAGTAAGAAAGGTGTAGGAGCTTTCAGCACTATAAAGGGTAGTTGGAAAGTAAGGATGTTTAACAAACAGCTTCCCAATACAATCTTCTAGTATGTTCAGCTTATGCATATATTTACTTTAGACTGCACTGCATGTTCATTCAGTTTGCAAATACCAGGATGCCTCCTGGTAGGGATGGAGAGGCAACAAAGAGGCAGCAGACACAGGTGATGGCACAGATGTCCCTTGTGCGGTACCACTCCGTGCCATCCGCCCGTACTTACACTTCAGCCAGCGGGCTCCGGCGTGTGTGTCCTTGTCCCGGATGAGCCTTCTCTGCGTGCAGCTCCTGCAGAGGTACCACAGCATCCACAGCAGCTGGATGAGCATCAGCGTGATGAGGTAGGAGAGCAGGTGGCTCTTGCTGATGCCCACTGCGTGCACAGCCCAGGCGAAGGTGAGCAGCAGCCCGGCCAGGAAGAGGTTGATGCCGTACTGGCTGCTGAGGATCTCGGCGTTTTTCTGCGGGTAGCTGCCGCCCACCGCGGGGCACCCGGCGGCCTGCTCCATGTCCCACGCCGCCGGCCAGGTGCTCCAAGCAGGCGGCCCCGCTTTCCCCGGGGAGCCCCGAGGGCGCTGCTGGCCCGTCCCCCATCGCGGCGGGGGCGGAGCGGGACCGCCGGCCCGGGGGAGGCTGCTGAGGTTTCTGCGGGACATTCTTCCCCGACACTGACAACAGCTGGGCTCCGGACCAGGGGGAGGAGAAGTCACTCGGACGAAGGTTAGCTCGGAGCCAGCTCTGCCCGGCTGCCTTTGGTGACATGGTCCGTGTTGGGAGACCCGTGCGGTGTAACACATTCCCTGGGCAGGAAAATGCAAAAGGCATCGTGTGTTGAACAAACCCCCGGCCCGGCGGCTGGAAAGCCGAGGAACGGCCAGAACCTGGGAGCTGGTGAAGCCGGAGCCTGCCCTGCAGCCCGGCAGCCAGCAGCTGCTGATGGAGCTCCTCCGCAGGGCAGGCAGAGGGATGACACACGTTCTTCACACTCTGGCCTCCACAGGCCGTCTTCTTCTGAGCAATCGGCACCTTCACTGGTAGGACAGAACCTCGTTTTTCAGGAATTCTCTAGACCTTTCAAAAGTGGCAATTTACCTTGTTTTTTTTAGAAAGTCCCATTCTGACAACACAGGACTATAGGAATTGCTAGCTGGAGAAGCAACTACTGACCTCAAAGCAGCAAAACCTTCTGCAGAATTTAGTCCCCTTCTTATATATTAATTTTCCCAATATTTATATTGACCCTTTTCTACTTAAAATGAATTCTCTTCACTTTAGGTATTTGGATGCTAAGCATAGCTTGGAGGCCAAACACCAAGATAGACTGGTTCTTGTTCTGGCCAAGAGTGTCTTACATCTTTGCTCTGTACCTGTTGCTTGCATATTCATTACCCAAAATATTGGCTTTTACAGTGAGTGACCCACACCTTGCATGAAATTAAGATACTAGTTCAACTACAATTTAAAAAAAAAGATATATTGAAAATACAGCATCTATTTTACTCCACTTCCTCTGGCAAAGTCATTTTAAACTTTTTTTCTTCTGAAGCCAGAAGAGAAATACAGGGAGGTTTCTCATATAACAAAGGACACTTTTGAGCTTACATATAAGTGTCTGGGGTTCACAAGCCTCTTAAAGAACAGGGAAGAAAAACAAAATGGCAGAAAGGTGGAATGACTGCATTCTGGACAATCACCTATTTAGGTAAACATAAAGAAGCAGTTCCTGTCTTTTATTCATTTTGTCCTGTTCTCAAGAAACAGGTATTTTAAGCCATCTGCAAATTTTCCTTTTGAGAAATGCACTTAACAGGAAGAGAGCCCTATGTTTCTGTCTGGCCTGTTAAATCAAAAGCATAACCAGTCATTCAGGCCACCCCTAGCTCACAGCTACATCCATTGTTATCAGAAATGACATTGTGGGATTGCCAAATCCTACTTCTATCTCATATAACGTAACCTTTAAAGAATAACTAAGGAAGATGTTTCCATTTTACAGAGCTTCTATGGGTAACTGTGATAAATAATCTTCATTGCATGGACTATTTTACTTCAAATTATCCAAGAGCATTCCTTGTCACCTGTAATAGAAAGCTCTTTGGTGCTGGTACACATTCTCATCCTGAAATGAAATCATGTAAATGGATACAGAAGACACCTATGGTGGTCTGTACCAAGAGAATACACTCAAGCTTTTGTAGAGGTGAGGATTTCAATTGCCTCATTTTTATATTTTTTAAGGAAATTATTATGCTATCTAATCTATCTCTTTCTACTCCCTTGCCCTAAATTCTTTACTTGGTGGTAAGGAAAATAACAAAAGCAAGGAGTTCACAGAAGTGGCAGCAGCATTGTGTCAGGTTGCAACAATTAAAACAAGCATTGTTTTATATTCTTACCAGATTTGCTACTACTTCCTTTTGAGCACATAAGTGAATGAGTATTGTGTTGGATACTCAGATCTGTTACTGAAAGACTTTGTACAATGAGCATTTCTACCTGGGATTCTCAGAAAGACATCAAAGTAGTCTGAAGGCAAACAGCTCTCCAGAGGTGAACAGAGTGTTATTACACCTTCAGTAAACCCAGGTGAAGGGGAATGAAAGACAAAGATATCCTGAGTCAAGTACAGTATTTAAAATCTACATGAACATCTATTTTACAGAAAAAGCAATGAGATGGGGTGCAGGTCTCCAAGAAAGTGTAATTAGATGGTTAAACAATTAAATATTGAACAACTATTGATCATTTTTGTACAAAGTTTATTAAGATGTTCAGAAGAATGAATTTTAAAAATCATGTAGCAAATAGTAATTTTAATTCAGATTACAAGGCAACTTAAAACACTTAGAGCAATTATATAGCTGACAAATAAAAATACAGCTATAATAACCATCCCTGAGCAATACTGCATTTTAAATGTTGTAATAAAGAAAGTTACTCAAATGTACCTGTGTATGCAGACAAAATTGGTAAAACCTTCTACAAATTGAAGACCTGAAGATAAGCAACTTACACTTTAAAGATGTGAAGCATGACTGGTTTTGGCAAATTTAAATATTACATTTAAACAAATCAAGCTGTTAACTTATCCTACAAACTACTTCAAGTAGTGCTGAATGCACTTTATTTTGGTTTGTCTGATCCTTTGTATTACATACTACTAGGTCCCAACTTTTTCCATTAATGGAACAGTAACAACCAAAGACAATGTGCATTCTCTGTCATTACTAAACATTCCATGTGTTCAGCAGTGGTGTGGATTTGGAAGTCAGAGTGAAGAACACAGTATCCTTTGGCAGTCCAGACTTCAAGCAACACTCACAAGGAGTAGATTTTAACAGGTTTCAGTACCCAATTTCTACATTCTCCTATTTTCCAGAAGGCGTGCATGGAAAAGTATTTACACAAGGACCTATACAAAGTGGTCTAGCAACCAGACGGTGCCCACGTCTTCAGACAGTTAATATCTCAGTCAACATGAACAGACATTTAATAAAAATAAAATGTTATTTTATTTTCCCAACTGAGTGTAACTAGTAGCTTTTAAGTTAATATCAGCCTCTTCATTGCTGAGTAAGGAAAATGGCAACTTCATTAACAGGCACTGCTAAGAATGAAAATTTGATTTACAGAAGAAAAAACTACCTGAATACTTTAAAACAGTACAAACATAAAAGAATTTAATGTGTGCTCCAAATTTCTTGTGTTAATATCGTTCATTGTATTGCTGGTTATTCACAGCTTGATCATCCACCCTTGGCTGTGGACAAACTGTATGAGTACAAGTAGAATTTATTTATTTAATTGATGGCACTGCCAAATGTTAACCAGCTTTCCCTCTCCCTTATCCATACATTTTTTAAACACTAGCAGATCCAAATTCAAGACATTAGATAGTAAAGTACTTCCTACATGGTAACACATATAACAGCAGAAATTTAAGAGATCAAGAAATGCCTCCTGTAAGTAAGTTTACAAGTACAAACACAGGTTCCAGATAACAGTATTTTACCTGTCAATTCAAATGGAAAGAATATAGTATTAAAACCCCACAACACTTGATTTAAGTATCACTTACTTCCAAATCAAACAACATGATTTGAGCAGGAAGTTTGAGTAGGTAATCTCTGAGGCCTCCAGAGATAATATTTAAAGGTCCCTTTCAACATTAACTATTCTATGGTGCTATTACTTGCTACCCATGTGCTTAATACTCAAATATAAATAGAAGCTTTACAAAATGAAAGGCTTCATGTTACTAAGAGATGTACAACACATTTATCTTCCAATTATTAACAAATCAGCTGCTTTTCCTATGGTTATGTCCACTGATTTATAAACCAAGTAGATTAAGAATTACTGTATTAGTTAGAGCAAACAGGCAGTATTAGAAACAACAGAAGTACTGGAATGTAACAAAAGTGACATACACTTTGCAAGATTACAGTTACTTGAGTCCTTCATATGAAGCTGAAAGAAAAGAAAAAAACAAATTTAAGAAAAATCTTTGAATGTTCTATATACTGCACAAGCTGTATCATAAATGAATTCATGATTTTGGAACACCAAATAATAACTTGTCCCTAATTATTAGGCAAATAATTATTTGATCTAATATGGAATTTCCCCACATTCTTCAAGTGCAGAGGCAGAACATGGCTATTGACAGAACCAACAAACATGGACACATTTGTATCAGCAAGTGTCACCCAATATTTTGTCACAGTAAAGAGATTCTGAACTAAGTATTGTATTTTCAGAAGTCTGAGTTTTGTCAGAGTAGAAGTTAATTATCTCCTTAAAAATGAGGTTTCTTGATATCTCAAAAATAGAGGGGAAAATGCAACAGTGGTTCAGCTTGTTATTAAAAAAAAAATAAAATCTGAGTTTCACCATCCCAGACATTAAACACTTTTTGCCTACAACTTTGTCAGTACAAGAGGCTACACTCTAAATCCAGCAATCCAGCACAGTCTTCTTTTTGCTGCACTCCTAAAAATGCTGAGGGATCTCCTCATTAGAAAGTGGCAAGCAAAGCCAAGCAGGCTTCCTCCCCATTCCCTTGAGAAGGACAATAAACAAGACCTGCTGAAGGAGGAGCTGCCCTGCATGATATGAGACACCTGTGATACAGGGGATAGCCCATTTACTGAGCTGTGTTTGGTGTCATCCTTAGCTTTTTACATTTCACTGGATTAATTTGATAAGTATATCTAACAAAATATGTGGCAGTTATTGAGAATGCATTTTTCAAGTCAACAAAACAGATGGGTTGGCCTTTGAAAAGTTCTTTTTAAAAGAACAAATAACTTCTCCTATCTGGCAGTTTTCCACACAGCAGGTTGATCTGGACTGTGCATCACAGAAAATGAAAACAGCACACTTGAAGACAAAGACATGACAAAAATTTTTAATTTTAAAAAAAATGGAGAAGGCAACATCCATGGATGTTGATATCTTCTCCCCTTTACTATCAGGTCAAACAGTTTTACTAAGAAGTTACCCCAGTCTAGGTAAAAGCTGCAGGGTTTTGGCCTATACATCCCCAAACCGTTCACTCTCACTAATGTTTCTTTTCAATGTCTAGAATGGAATTTTAGAGAAGTGGAAAGGATATTCTCCCCCTTTTGATAATTGCACGTTCTCTGTTTTCTCTACATGCCACAAAATGTCACAATTTGAAGAATGCCCACAAAACATAGAGAAGGAACCTCTATACAGCCTCCCAATCCTTAAATGTCTAACAAAGCAGTTCCCACAACAAGATAAATACTTTTATGTGCTTAAAAAATTCAGTTATTTACCTGAAGGGCTTATCCCAGGAGTGACACAAGCATCACAATACCCATGAACTGAATGAAGAGCAACACAGGTGTCAAAAATGACCAGACAGGCCACAAGGCAACATTGAAACTGGGAGTAAAAGCAGAAAGTATTTGGAAAGTTCAGTTGTCACATTACAGAAACATCAGGCATACAAAGAAAACATGTCAAAAGAAAAAATAAGATTTAAATTACTTAACCTGGAAATATACTTCTTTGTTTCTGAAAGCAAAACACATCAAGGGTAAAGGGTAAAGATACTGTTTACTTTCAGAAAATCTGTATCTGAAGCTCCTGAAAATGACCTACTCTTTGATTTTTCCATGGGCATACATGGCAGCTGAGAGAAGCCTTAATCTGAACTTTGATCCAGCGAGCTTTCAGTGAAGTGAAAAGACAAGGGGAAAACCAACTTATTTTACATCTGACTTACAAGAATTACAGATTTGACTAATTATAAACCATAAGGAACCTTTATTTTTCTCAATCTTCCTTTTTTTAACCATTGCAACAAATACTGACTGATACCCTGATAAAACAGCTAAACAAGAGGAAATCAATTTTCGTGCAGAAAGCAAATAAATTAACTGGTACAATGGAATTTTCTTCATTCACATTTGCTCAGTTCTCATACAATCTCATAAGTAAAGCAACTCTTACTAAAAGTACCATTCTCAGATAAAATATAAACCAATAAAGCTCATATGGCAATAGTCAGAAGTCTAACATTTTGTGTATGTTTGCTAACTTGTAGATTGTTTGATAATGAAGAACTCTGACAGAAACTGACTGAACTGAATTTTTTCTCAGATAAAGAGACTGCACCTTTGTCTTAATTTGTAAACTGCACAAGTTGTTGCCAGAGGTGAGAAATTTACACAAATATAATTTCAGTTTTCTCCTAAATTTTCAAGACAGAAAAG